GGGGCTGAGGGTCGGACAGCCCGACCCTGTGAGACCCAGATTGTGTGTTGTGTGACCATTGTTTTCCCTTGGCCTCCGTCTCCCCATCTGCAGGATAAAGAGCTTGAAGGGCACTAGGTCACTGGTCCTCAAACTTGTCTGGTCCCCAGGAGAAGTTCAAACTACACTTTTGCAGGGACATCCTCCCTCTAACCGCTGGACCAGATGCTCTTGGGCAGGGATGATGGGGACAGAATACTGTTCATCGTTTTAAAGTCCCCTGGGTGGGAGGGATGAGGAACCCTGGTGGCCGAGTGGTTATGTGTTGGAGTGCTAACTTTAAGGTCAGCAGTTCAAAATCACTGGCCACTTTGCAGGAGAAGAGAAGGCTTTCTACTCCCCCAAAGAGTTATAGTCTCAGAAACCCACAGGGGCAGTTCTACCCTGCTCTATAGGGCTGTTATGAGTCGAAATTGACTCAATGGCAGTGAGTTTTTTGAGTTTGAGGGTGGATGGAGTGGAGGGGCTCGGATGTGACGTGCAGCCAGGCGTGGGCACAACTCTACAGGCCCCTCCAGCTCTGAGAGTTTGCGGTTCCCACAGGAAAGTGCCAAACCTCAGCACGGCCCTTCATTGCAGCTACAGAGTACATGCTGAGCCATAAGCTACTTCCTGTCACCTTCAGAGTCCCAAAGGTCCCAAAGACACCTAACAGCAGGCGTCCTCAAACTACGGCCCTCGGGCCACATGCAGCCCCCAAGGACATTTATCCGGCCCGCCGGGTGTTTTTGCCCCATTTTGTTTTTTACTTCAAAATGAGATATGTAGTGTGCATAGGAATTTGTTCATAGTTTGTTTGTTTTTTAACTGTAGTCCAGCCCTCCAACGGGTCTGAGGGACAGTGAACTGGCCCCCTGTTTAAAAAGTTTGAAGACCCCTGGGTAAGAGGAACCAGGCAGTGAAGCAGTCATTCACTTCAGTGAAGTCCGGCCCCCAGGACAATATGCAACCACCCCCGCTGGGACATGGATCAGGGTACAGTGGGGAGCAGGGGGCAGGGGACAGGAGGGCAAAGGGGTTAGGACTTGGATCCCAGAGGTCTGAGACGGTCAGGGATGCTTGGCTGCCCAACAAAGGGGAGGTGATCTAGCCAGATCTTTCTGAAACCTGAGCGTTGGGGTGGAGGAGAGGGGGAGGAGGGACTACCTGGCCCTGAGGGTCCTCCCACCAGCACGCAGCTCCTCCTCTGGATGTCCCTTCCCTGGGGCTGGCCACCTCCACTCGCCCTTGGCTGCCCTCTGTCCCTCAGGACGGGTGAACGGGCCGGGCCACCAGCCAGCTCCATGGACAGGGTCTTTGCCTCTGCTCCCCGGCCAGCTCTGAGAAGGAAAGAAGCGACCACTGTGTGGACTTGCCCCGAGGGGCCCCTTCCGCCTGCTACCCTTTCAGAGGCAGAGAAGGTCACTGGCCCTTGGCTTGACTGTGGAAGAAAGGACGGGAAGATCCCAAGACATTTCCCCAGGTATGAGCCTCCCATGTGTGCTGGGGAGGTGAGGGTAGAATGGGGGGGTAGGGGTGGAGGAGTGGTGGTGGCATTTTTCTCCCAGTGGGATGGTTTATTGCCACAGCTTCACGCTCTGCTCTACGCTTGGCTGCCCTAAAGGCATTCAGTCATCCGACAAACAATTCTCCAGTACCTACCCTGTGCCAGGTGGCCTGTCCTAGAGGAGTCCACAGGCCAGCTGGGGAGGAAATCGTAAGGATGACCACCACGGTTTATGGTGGGCCAGGCCCTGGGGTCACTAGTGTGGGAGTCCACTCGATGGCAGGGAGTTTGAGTGGCGTTTGAAGCCCCGGGGTAAACCTTTCATGGTCTTTGTCAGTTTCTCTCTCATCTAGCAAGAGCTGTAGGGGGAAAAGGCCTCCTTACCAAGTCCATGTTATAGGTGATGAGAGTGAGGTTGACGAGGCGAGGTCACACCGCTAGTAAGGGACGGAGCAGACACGTCTAGCCGCCGGGCTGTGCTGCTTCCTGCTTAGAGACCAGGCCGGGAGGGACACGAACAAAGAGGCGGAGAGCCCTGGAGACTCGCCATTCACAGAAGGTGGGGAAGAGTTAGGCCACATCTTCTCTAAGCTTCCCAGGGTGCGGGGCATGAGCAGACAAGAGAGACCCAAGCTTAGAACTAGAGCAGTGGTGCTCAACCTATGGGGCCCGACCCCTTTGGGGGTCCAACGACCCTTTCACAGGGGTCGCCTGATTCATCACAGTAGCAAAATGACAGTGATGAAGTAGCAGTGAAAATCATGTGATGGTTGGGGGGGTCACCACCACGGGAGGAACTGTATGAAAGGGTCGCGGCATTGGGAAGGTTGAGCACCACTGAACTAGATGGTGAGGGAGGCCTTGGGAGGCCAGAGAGAACTCTTAGATGCACTGGGATTTGAGGCCGGTGGGAATAGGGTCAGGGATCCTTCTCTCGAATCCTTGGGCCAGGTAGAGGATAGAGTGAGGGGATTTGAGGAGTCCTGGCCACTTTCTTGGAAGCTGTTCCCCCCCCACCCCCCTCACAGGGCAGGAGTTGCTGTGGCTAGGGGGCTGGAGGAAGCAGTGTTGGAGCAGTCTGAAAGGTGGGTGGCCCCAATGTCTGAGAGCTGGGGGAAGGCCCAGATACCTATGGGCCCCCCCTCCCACAGCTCCCAGCTCTATCTCCCAGCCGTCCTAGGCCAGGCAGAGCGAGGACAAAAGCTGATTATTCCACTGGGGGCTGTGCCAGGCTCCATGAATGGGGTATTGAGAACACTGTGCCCGAATCCAGATAAGTTTTCATCCTTTCCCCAGGCAAGCTGTGTGAATGCCAGGGCAGAGGCAAAGCCAGGGAGTGATGGGGTAGGTAGCAGATTCCCTACTGGGAGGCCCCTCCGCTCCTCATGCCCACTGGCACCTCAATCTCAATAGATTTCAAGCCAAACCATCCTCCCTCCCCGCTCCTCACCTCCTCCTGTAGCGACAGACCCTAAGAATGGGAATCAACTGATGACCCCTGGGCTGTAATCACCCCCAACCAATGGCAGCCCAGTTCTGCCCATTCAACCTCCCTGATAATGTTCACATCTGTCTTTCGCTGCCCCTGACAATCAGGGATCTGGGTAACTGCACCAGCCTCTGTTCTCTCCTCCTTTTGATCCATTGTCCACATACTTAATGGCCTGCTCTTGATACAAGTGTGTGCAAGAAACGGGGGCCATGGGGAGGCCTTCTGGGGTGCTGGATCCCTGGTGTGAATATTCACTGCTCTCTGTACTTACTGAGTACACACTTTCCCACAGATAGGCCTCCAGGTTGCTGCTGTTCGTTGGCATTGAGTTGATGCCCGCTCACAGTGGCCCTACGTGTACAGAGTAGAACTGCTCTGTGACGTTTTTGTAAAACTCGGACCTTTTGGAAGCAGCCCGACAGGCCCTTCTTCTAAGGCATAGCCTGGATGGGTTTGAACCTCCAACCTTTAGGCTAGTTGTTGGGCTAGTAGTTGCTCCACGTATGGACTCTGTCAGGGCTCTCCCTCCCATAAGAGGAGAGTATCCAACATAGCATCAATCACCATTTTTGCAGCCATGTGCATTATATTTTCATTCTCCTTCCCCTTTAAACAGACTCATTACCTCAGACTTTCATTTTCAAGAGAAACTTGATATGGTGCCAGATCCATGGGACACCAGAATTCTTTGCTACAAATTTGGTTGGGGCCATCCAATCCCTACACACAGCAGAGAAACAAAAGCAAAAACACCGCCTTCCTATCAATAGAAGGCACTCATTAAGATAATGGATGAAAAGAAAACAATAACTATATTGTCTATATCACCCTGAAATTATCTGGGTTGCCACCAGATGCAAGAGTCAGGAGCAGTGTACTGCTGGTCAGAAGATACGAGTGAGCCACCAGCCAGCCAGCTGGGAGACATGAATCAGAAACTACCATGAGAAAAAGGGAATGAGATTAAAACAAAATCATGATGCGAATCACCTTATCCCCACCATGATAGCCCAATTCTAAAATTAAAAAAAAAAAAGAAACCAATAAACGGTGGCGAGATTGGAATTCTTCTCACTGTGGTGGGCTTATCGATAGGTACAACCATTGTTGTCAATAGGTACAACCCTTGTGGAAAGCGATGTGGAGGCAACCCCAAATCACTGGACATTGGAATCCTTCTGCTGAGCCTATTTCCCAAAGAAATAAGATACCAATAGATGTGTTCTCTCCATGTTTGCAGCACAGTCCACAAGAGCAGTAAGTTGGAAACAGTCCAAATATTCATGAGTAGAAAGACCCAAAACAAACAAACAAACAAAAAACCATTGTTGAGAATGAGTGTGTTTGGAGTAGAGACCCAAAACCCATCGGTAGACAATAGGACAATCCCTCACAGAAGGGTCACAGGAAGGGATGAGTCAACCAGGGTGCAGTGCAGCACCAATGAAACACACAATATTCCTCTGGTTTTTGAGGCTTCCTCACCCCTGATCATCAAAACTTTGGTCCTGACTTTTAGTTCTGGCTAGACCAGAGCATGTACACTGGTAGAGCTAAGAGCTCAGGACACACAGAATCCAGGTCAAATAAACCCCTCAGGAAAGAAATGGGAGTAGCAAAAGCAGGAGGGTAGGGGAAAGGTGGGGGAAACCTATCATAATGATCACTGCATAAACCTCCCCCAAGGGGGACGAACAACAGAAACATGGATGAACAGAGACAGTGGTCAGTGTAAGATATGAAAACAGTATTAATTTATAATTTATCAAGGAGTCACAAGTGGGGGGGGGAGGATCTGATACCAAGGGCTCAAATAGAAAGTAAATGTTTAGAAAATGATGATGACAATATACGTACAACTATGCTTGATACAATTGCTGTATGGAATGTTATAAGAGCTGTAAGAGCCCCCAATAAAATGATTTTTAAAAAACACACCAAAAAAAGGCAGGCTTGGCAACAAATGTGCTTGACACAATAAATGTAATGTATGGATTATGATAAGAATTGTATGAGCCCCCAATAAAATGATTTTTTAAAAAAAGGTGGGCTTCTGTTCTCAGGCATCTAATCTTCTATTCTGGTTTCCCAGACAAGAAGGTAACATACCTGCCTAATGATCTTGACCATCTACCACCCCCTTATTTGGACAACTTAAAATCCACTTCAACAGAGGAGGCCTCACCTCAACTAGGTCAATTTCCTATGATGCAGAGAGAGGGAAGAAGACCAACCAGCTACTGTATGCAACATTATCCTAACAGTCACCCCAGATTAACGGGCACCCTACAAGAGTGATGAGTGACCTTTACCAGAAACTCAAGTCGAGAGGTGCGAGGGTGGAAGGCATGTCTGTCTTGGAGAAGGAGAGACACTAAACTTGGTCAGTGGGTTAACCGATGGGGCATCCTGCCATTGGGAAAAACACACTCACCATTAAGTATCATGTCCCTCAGGTGACCCAAGCTGTATACTATAGACAACCTGAACTTTAGACTCTGCCCTTTCAAGATGCACAACATCCTGTAGGACATCCCAGAAGGATCCACATTTGAACTCCTACTAAGTGAACAGGACTTTACCTTAAATGCATCGGTAGCAGAATAAAGGAACTGAAATGCTTCCATGGGTCTAAGGCTGAAATGCCCTACTCTGAGAAGAAACAGATGACTATTATCCAAGGCTTATGGATGAGGAAGTCATTGGATCTTGGTTCAAAAATTCATGCCTTGAGGATGCCCAATAAATGGCAACTATTTCCCTATTCTCTTTGCCTTTTTACAACATGTGCAGTACAGTTCTACTTTTATGAATGAACATTATTGAAAATGTTGCCCTATTGCCAACGCTCATTGTTTATGTAAACAGTGCACAGTCACCTAGGTTGTTAATCTGTACAAATCAACAATCTATGTATTTTTGTCACATAAAAACCAGTCCTATGCTTGTATACTTTCTTTTTCTCAATAGTTTTTTCAATTCTATACTCTTGGCTAAATTAAGGATACTATCAACAAAACTATCATATGCCCCATGAGGATAATTTATAATTTCCTTCCACAACATCATAATAATGTCTTTAAAGTGAACCAAAGACATATATAAGTCATAGTTATATGATTGAATTTTGAGCGCACACTTAATTGTACCCCAGATCTAAGAACGATTAGTTCTTATGACATAGCCCTGCTCGATGCCCACCCCCATGATGTGGACATTGAAGATGCATGTGCTGTAGCAAAGTGTGGTGAAGAAAACAGATGGTTCCCGGCTCTCAGGAAGATTAGCCTCTGAGTCTTAAAGACTTGCTTTAAGACAAGCAGCCATCTGATTGAGGTGTCAGCTACACCCACTCCACCAGTCTATATGATGAAGATTTGTAAATATTAAAAATGAAATCTAGAGCAGGAAATGGCATTCGAGTCTAAATTCTAAACACCCTGTTTTCAAAAGGATGTAGTTGACAGTGAAAGCCCAAAGCCCGTTCGCAGGGTACCCCATGTGGATTTTGCCTCAAGAGGATGCCTCTGACTGTGGACCAGGGATGGAAAAGGCCTTGTTACCAGACAGAGTGCATGGAAGTGTGGATTCCTGCTGTTGGTAGTGTGATCTAAATGTGACGGCTTGTCGTTTCACCTACCTCGTGATCCAAAGTGTAATTCTTGTATACGCTTGGTATCATGCTTATGAAATATTGTAAAATATTTTCTATTTCATTTCAGATGGAGCGTTTTCTCTGTTTCATTCTGTTGCTGTTGTTGGGCCAGTTGTTTGTGTTTTTGTTTTGATTTGGTATGTTTTTCTGTATATGGAACCCAAGCAAGGTAAACCTATAGAGACAAGTGAACAGTTTCAAAGAGACATGGCAGGGAAGGTGGGGTAGAAATGGAAAATTAATAGCCACAAGTACAAGGAAGAAGAAATATCCTGGAATTGACAGTGATGCTGGTTGTACAACTCTTATGAATGTGATTCAATAATGTAATGTATGGTATTTAAATTGTATGTCGGTGAAATTGTTTGAAAGTAATCAACTTCTTTTTTCTTTTTTTAAAGAAGATACTAGAGGGCTCTGTAGAGAAGTCTCCGGGTTGGGACTTTACCCTCTGGGTACATCCCTGTGGACACTGGTAAGGAATTTAGCAGTGGAGTGAGGTGAACATCTGTGTTTTCCCCGACAGTTACTTGGGTCACCAGCCTTTAGGCTACACTGCCCAAGATGATGGAGTCAGAGCTCTCAGCAGAGCCACGTGGACCCGTCATTGGTTGGGTGCAGACAACCTTCCCACTCTCATCTCTTTGTCTTGATTTTGCACAGCCAGGAGTCCCAGGTGGTGGACATTCCATTGACTCCTAACCAAAGGGTTGGAGGTTCAAGTCTACTCAGAGGCACCTCAGAAGAAAGACCTGGTGATCAACGTCTGAAAAACCAGTTGTGACACTCTAGGAGCGGATGGCTGGAGCTAGACGTTAAAACTCAAAAAGCTAAAAAACAAACAAAAAAAAAGCTCACTGTTACCCAGTTGGTTCCGACTCATAGTGACCCTATGGCAAGCCAATCACAAAAGGGCAAATAGTATGCAACTGAAAGGGTTGATGATAGGGAAAGAAAGAAAAAGGCAAATATATAAAGAGCAAAGTTTACGAGTGGTTATCAGGAGCGGGAAGGGGATGAGGGCAAGCCAGGGAGGGAGGGAGTTAACAATGATAGAAAAATCACAATGGAATCATCGGTGCATAGCTGAGTCCTGTAATTGCTGTGAAGAAGTTGTCCATCGGTCAAAGGTTGCATTGGCCAAGTTGTGTGATAGATACATTGAGGGCAAGGACCAAAAGCCAAAGAGTAGCTGCTAAGCTGCCTGTGTCCAGGCAAACACATCATGGGCTTGGTTCCTTGGTTTGGAGGTTAAGACTTAGGGTGTGGTGAGGCCATCCCCATTCATGGGCCTAACCCTACGCTCAGTGCTTCTGGTCTACCTCCTAGTCTCATGTGTAGCGCCTGGAGTTTAATGAGGGGGTTTCAAAGAGTTCGTGGGAAAATGAAATGAAAACATAATGGAGTTTTTCCATAAACTTTTCGAAGCCCCTAAGTGACCATCCAAGGTACAACAATTGGTCTATACTCACTTGAAGCCATAGAAGAAGGAGAATCAGGAAGAGGAGAAGGATGTTTCTATGAACCTCCTTTGCCTTGAGACCAGAAGAACTAGATGGTACCTGGCTACCATCACTTAATGTTTGGGTCAGAAATTCCACAGAAGACTCCTGATCAAAAGAGGGGAACTGAAGAACAAGACTGCAAATTCGCATGAACTCTAGACTTTATGGAGCCATGGAGGGTGGATGGACCCCTGAATCAAGTGCCATAGATAATCTTTAAACTTTTCAACCAAAACTATTCCCTGAACTCTTTTTAGAACTGAACAATGTCTTAACTTGACTGATATGTAAGATCTGCCTTGAGCATCACGCTCTTGTAAGATCGGTGGAGGACCCAAAGGACAACAGCTCCTGGAAAGATGGGCTGGGAACCTGAGGGGGCAGCGAGTCCATGTCAAGGAGGGAGGAACAACTCAAAAGAGGAAGATGATGTGACTAGCCTTGCTATCATGCAGAGGGCATTAGAAAGTGGATTCTTGCAGATGCAGTTAGGTGAAATCAGCACCTTATCCTTTGCCCTCTCTTTTGATCCATTCTAAATTTATTCCAGATTTCAGTATTTTCTTCTTTCTTTTTGATTGAGGATTTTATCTGTTTCACTTTGTTATTGTTGTTCGTTTTTGTGGTGGTTTTTTTTCATTCATCTTTTTCTGTATATAAGATCCAGGAGAGGTAACTTTATAGAGACAGTAACTGGATTAGTGGTTCCTTGGGAGGATGGCAGGGGAGGTTGGAGGGAAATGGGGAGCTCATAATGAGAACAAGAAGGAAGAAAACGTTCTACAGCGGATTACGGGGATGATTGAACAACTCTTCTTGATGCGATAGGACTATTGGATTATATGATATGTATATGTGAATGATGTGCCAAAAGAACCATTATTAATTAATTCACGTAAAAAGAGGAAGGTGGGAATGGCTGCATGGATTGAGTGTGATTCGTGACATGTGATTCATGTCCCTAAATTGTGCGTGGAAACCAAACTGAACTGACTGCCATCGAGCGCATTCAGACTCCCAGCGACCCTAAGGCACAGCACAGGGGGGATCTGTCCCCATGGGCTTCCAAGCCTGTAACTCAGGACAGCAGTAGAAAGCCCCGTCTTTCTCCTGAGGAATGACTGGTCGTTCCAAACTGCAGAGCTTGCGGTTGGCAGCCCACTGCCTACCCACTATGCCGCTCGGACTCCTGCCATGGTGGGTGCAGGAACTGTTTAAAAGGGAAGAGAGAAAAGAGAACTCTATGACCTCAGGTCCCCTCTGATGCATATGAGGTCATCATCATGAGTTGGAAGTGATTTCACAGCAGGGGGTTTGGGGCCACAAGCCTGGGCTCCAGCCCAACTTGGCTCCTCACTCATTCCCATACGAGCTCACTCATGTCTCCTCTCCAGGCTGGTGCCGGTGCTGCAGCCAAACTCCAGTGGAAACCTCAGTCCCCTCTGAAGCTTTCACTTCCCCCACCCCCAGCTGGAAGGAACATCCTAGGGCCCTCTCATTCCAGATGTTCCAACTGTGTCTTCTCCACGGCCCCTTGACGGTGCCCCCTGAAAGGCCATCTACTGGCTGGACGCACAAGGAAACCGAGATGGGGATTGGTCCCCAGTTGGTCGAGAAGAGCCGGGGATGGAGGCCGGGAGATGAGAGTCCTGCCCCTTCGCCCCTTTCCCCAGCCCTGTCCTTCCTCCTCCTCCTGCCACTGGGTGAGTGCCGGCACCTCCCATCTTTGACTCTCCCCCTTTCTGCCTCCGTTTCCCCTGCTGCTCAGCTACGGAGGGAGGTGGGCGGTGGGGGATCTGGTTTGAGCTGTCCTTTCCAGTTCTGACCTCTGCTCGGGGTGGATGGAAGAGGGGCGCTCTAGGTTTGGGGGATGCCATGTTGGAGGTGAGGGTTACATGTGCCCAGGTGTGGCCAGGGGGTGACCGTGAGCAGGGAGAGGGAATGGGTGCCCCAGCAGCTGTGTGCGAGGCAGCTGGTAGCCTTGAATCCCATAACCAAGACTCTGGGGCCTTCAGAAAGGCAAAGCCGAGTGATGGTTGCGCCACCTGTAAACTGGGGCGGGAGTATGTGCAGCGGTAGGAGGATAAGATGGGGAGACGTCAGGCGCAGGGAGGTTCAACGACTTGCTCAAAACCACACCGCAAATAAAGGGTACAGCTGGGTGCCAGCGGCATGAGGGGGCAGGCGGGGAAGAGAAGTAGGGTCACTGGCCTAGCCTGTAAAGCAGAAAGCCTGATAACAGGCTTGTAGATGCAGTTAGGTGAAAATGTAAGAGCCTTACAGTTCTCACACACCGCACCCCACGGCGTACTGTACAGCACCCTCTGGGGAACATATTCTGACTCATAGCAACCCTATCTAGCATTTCCAAGGCTATAAATCTTGACAGGATAGCCTCTTCTTTCTCCTGGTGGGTTTGATCCAGCAACCTTGCAGTTAGTCATCGAACACTTCCTCTAATAGTGTCACCAGGGCTCCCTGAGGTACATGTGAGTTCAAACTCCAGGCCATCTAGTTGGTTCGAGTGACCCTAGTGACCCTATAGGACAGAGAGACTTTAACTCTCTATGGAAGTAGAAAGCCTCCTCTTTCCCCCATGGAATGGCTGGTGGTTTCGAACCACTAACCTTAACGTCAGCAGCCCCATGAATAACCTGGTGTTCCCCCAGAGCAGAAATACAAGGGAAAGTAAAAAAGTACTGGCCCTAGGGTTCCCTGATTCATACACACACAGGCTTGTTCCAAACACATGTTTAAGCATGTTCCTGCACTTGGTGGATAGCTGCAGACAAGTTCCCCAAGGAACATACCTGTCTCAGAGGGTGAGTTCAAAAAATTAACACGTCTCATCCAAACAGTGGCTGTCCAGGGAATCTGCTGAGCCAGGTCAATTTAAGACGGAGAGGTCAGCTCCAAAGGCCGTGGCAACTCTTTGTGGGGGTTCTCAAAGGGTCATCTTGATAGATTTTGCTCAAAGAGCTCAGGACATTCATGGGGGCTTATTACGAAGAAGTGTTAAGAAAATCGAAAACTGCACTGGGAAGTTGTGCTCCGAGGAACTCTTGCACTGGCTCATGTTCCTTGAGGAGACAAAGGCCAGAATTCCCTTGGTGGATTCGAACCAGAATCAATCACAAAGCCCATGGACACATTGAAAGCAGAGCCACTGAGAATCTACTGAGTGGCAGGTTCTGAGGAGGGGACCCTGGACCCAGGTGAGACAGGCACGCCCACCTCACCAGTAGAGTCGCTGAAAGGGGCACCTTCCTGGTGCCCAGGCAACCCTCCCAAGGAGGGTTGGTGAAGGCTTAAGAAGGCTATCAGAGCTGGGATAGCCAGGTCAGCCAGCAGGGCAGTCCACGCCGAGAAGACTGCAGGGAGAATGCCTGTGGATCTGATTTGGTCGCTGGTGGGAGATTCAGAAGTAAGAGAAGTAAAGGACAAACTGTTGGAGGGGTAGACCAGTCATTTAAACTGTTGAATACAAAGTGGATGATCTGAAATGTAAATCCCTACAAGACTTTACAATTAAAAATTTGTTGTTTTTTTTTTTTAAAAGTAAGGAGAAGCTGGTCAGGCTATTAGCAGGCTTTGTGGAGAAGAAAGTCTCCATGCTTGGTTTGACCTTGTAGGCAGTCAGTCATAAGCAGAAGCGGGCTTGAGGCACATCTTCCTGGGGACAGCTAAAGGAGTCCTGGTGGCTGGCGCAGTGGTGATGCGCTGGGCTGCTATCTGCAAGGTTAGCAGTTGAAAACCACCAGCGGCTCCTTGGGAGACAGATGGGGCTTTCTACTCCTGGAACGATTTACAGTCTCAGAAACCCCCCAAGGGCAGTTCTACTCTGTTCGACAGGGTCGCTCTGAGTCACCATCAACTCAGAGGCCATGAGTTTGGTTTGGGGTTTTGGAGTGGACCCATGGAAGGGGTGTGAGGCAGGGAGGCTGGTGGGCACAGACAGGACAAGAGATGTTGGGGTTTCAGAAGCACAGGGGTAGTAGAGTCACAGAGGAGGGGGATGGGTGGTGACTGTGGGTTGGGGGAGCAGTTGTGGGTCTAGGGTTGGCAGCCTCTTCTCAGAGAGAGAAGAGGAGCCAATGGTCTTCCTCATTCTGTTTCAGCCAGTGCACTTCAGCCCACTCCACTGCCCTTTCCAGGTAAGTGTCTTTCTCTCCCTCCCCCACCCCCCAGGCACCCAGACCCTCAGAAGACAGGGGGAGGAGGGTAGAAGGACAGAGGGGGGGGAGCACCAATAATACACCCACCTTGGTTGGATCGCCTTTTTACCCAAGGGAGAAATATGGCTTAGAGGGACTGAGCCCAAGTACCCCCGTGCTTCTTGATAAGATGGACGTCCTGTAGATCGGGCCCAGCGATCCCCATACTGCCCACTCCACCCTCTCCACAGAGCTGAGGCTGGTGGGGGGCCCGAGCCGCTGCCGGGGGCGCCTGGAGGTCCTACATGGTGGCTCCTGGGGCAGCGTCTGTGATGATGACTGGGACGTGGTGGACGCCAACGTGGTGTGTCGCCAGCTGGGCTGCGGCCTGGCGCTGCCTGTGCCCCGGCCCCTAGCTTTTGGCCAGGGCCGGGGCCCCATCCTGCTGGACAACGTGGAGTGCCGGGGGCAGGAAGCGGCGCTGAGCGAGTGCGGCAGTCGGGGCTGGGGCGTCCACAACTGCTTTCACTATGAGGACGTGGCTGTCCTGTGTGATGGTGAGCAGGGTCCAGAGCCCCAGGAGGGCAGACAGGTTGTGGGAGGCAGCAGGGCTGCAGGCTAGCGATGGCAAGTGGTATGTGCAGAAGACCAGGCCAGGGGCTGCACAGCGCTGGGGCAGAGCACCCCCTCTCCTGACCCCTTCCAGGGTTCCAGTGTGACCTTGAGCTGAAAGAAAACTTGACTGCTTCCATGCATGCCCTTGAGTGTCCCAGCAGAGCCCCTGGCTCCTTTTTCAAAGGACCTGACTAGGAGCCATGCTGGTCCTAAACTCCACTGGGCAATGAGCGGCAGGGAACACTCAGAGGTTTGACCTTGACTGACAGATGGCAGCCCCACCCCCTAGAGTCTCTGATTTGGTCATTCTCACAAGAGCTCCAGGAGCCCTCTCGGTGTGGTGGGTTATGTATTGGGCTGCTAACCACAAGGTCAGCAGTTTGACTGCACCAGCCTCTCGGCAGGAGAGAGATGACGCGTTCTACTCCCCTCGGGATTTACACCCTTGAAAACCCACAGGAGCAGTTCTACTTCGTCCTATTGGGGCGCTATGTGTTGGAATCCACTCAATGGCAGTGAGTTTGGGTTTTGGCTGTTGACAAGTGCACTAGCCTTAAGTGGCCCGGGACTCTGCTCCCATGCCCAGAGGAGTTTTTAGCCAAAACCTGAGGGATCCGTTGCCCCCATCACCTTACACAGCCTGAGGGTCTGAGGATGGATTCCAGAAAGGTCATGGGTTTTCCTCTTTCCCACCTTGCTTCCTTCTCAGAGTTCTTGCCCACTCAGCCCCCAACGAGGAAGGTGCTAACCATCCCGGCTGTCCCCACCGATGCCCAGAATGGGAAAGGTGAGTCACAGTGACGTGAGGGGGTTGGGGGGGCGGGGTGACTGCCTGGCTCTTCTGGCTCTTTCCTTAGGTAGTGAGACAAGAGGAATTACACATGGGTGAGGCCCTGCCCTGACCCCCTGTGAGCCCTTCAGGCAGCTCCTCATCTGGATAGAGAAATAGGGAACCGGTCACTCTGTGGAATGATAAAAAATACAGTCAGCCCAGACTTAGGGAACACGGGAAGTGGGTGTGGGGACTGGAGCTTAGTCTACAGTACGGATGGAGGAATTTTTTTCTGCCCAGGGCCATTTGCATATTCATAAGATCATTCAAGGGCCAGACCGGTCAAACATTTCATTCACCTCACCCCTAATGTGGTGGCTAAGGAGCCTGAGGGGTGAAGTGTTTACATGTCGGGCTGCTAATAAGATCAGCAGTTCAAAACCACCAGCCACTGGGCAGGAGAAAAAAGAGGCTTTCTCCTCCTGTAAAGAGTTACCGTCTCAGACACCCAGAGAGGCAGTTTGACCCTCCCCTCTCGGGTGGCTATGAGTGGGACTCAGATGGCAGTGAGAAGGTGACGGCTGGACTTGCTTCCCTTTGGTGAAGGGCGTAGTGTCAGCTGGTACTGGTGTGTGTGCGAGCCTTACGTGGTCTGTGGGTGGGACATTCCCCCCTTGTGGTCTACAGCAATGACGAGGATGAGGAAGTAGGGGAAATTGTCCCTAGAGAGAGTCACATAGAGAGGCAAGGCCATAGAAGAAGGAAATCGTTAGAACAGGGAAAGCTTCGTGGAGAATGCACTGTTGATGCCAGACCTTGGGCTTTGGGGGTGCCCTGAGCAGGGTCCCCAGGGAGCAGCATCTCCTAGACCAGGGCATGGGAGGTTGGTATTGGTTTTAGGAGTAGCATAGTTCTTTGACCTGTTCTGTGACCCCCCCACATCACCCCCAAGCTGAACAAGGGGCCCAGAGCCTGAGCAGGGTCCCCTGGGTGTGAGGTCCTGGGGTACCAGGCGCTGTGGGTCTGTGGGGAGCATTGCCTGTGAAGGGTGGTTTAGGTCCACTTTTGGAGGCTGAGCCCTGTGGGAGGTGTGCCCCTCACCAGGTGAAGGAAGCGTGCGCCTGGCGGGGGGCACCGGCCCATGTCAGGGCCGAGTGGAGATCCTGCACGGCGGCCTGTGGGGCACTGTGTGCGATGACGACTGGGGGCTGCCGGACGCCGCGGTGGTCTGCCGCCAGCTGGGCTGCGGGGGAGCCCTGGCAGCCACCACCAACGCCTTCTTTGGCTACGGCACTGGGCACATCATGCTGGACAACGTGCACTGCGAAGGAGGCGAGCCCCGCTTAGCAACCTGCCTGAGCCTGGGCTGGGGCGTGCACAACTGCGGCCACCACGAGGACGCCGGCGTGCTCTGCGCAGGTGCAGGCTCCAGGGGCGGGGCCAGCGGCGGAAGGGGGTGTCTCTGGGTGGGGGCGGGGCCACGACCTCAGCCGATGGTGGGGCTCTGCCCAGAAAATTGAAAAAGCCAAGTCAAGTCAGAGCTAAGGAGGGCACTTAGCTGCCCTGGTGGTGTAGTGGTTACACGTTACCTTTTGCACACCCTTTGCCCTTTCTAGCACGATTTCATAATACATACATCTAATAATCATGTCTGCTATATGAGCAAGACTCTAATGAGACTTGCTCTGCAAACCCCTCAAGACTGGGTGTCCCTCACTGGAAGATGAGGCCTTTCTGGATCTCCGGGTCCTGGGTTTCATTCAGAATGGGGCACCGCTGAGAACAACGTGTCTCATGATACCATAGCCAAGGAGAACCTTGAAGAAGCTTGCTGGTGGGCGCCTCCATGGACTGTAAACGTGCTCTGCTCCTTGGGAAGCACTGTAACATTCCAAAGCTGGGCAGCCTCCCTGGCACCCCAGCTGGGGCTAGGCCCCCAGCCCTGGAAGTAAAGTCTGTTGCCTTCTTCCAGAACACCCTCCCATTCTCCCCTGACAGCCCAACGCTGAGGAGCAACCGGATAAACCACTGATCTGCCCTTCCCTTCTCTCCTGCTCTAGTGCTAAATCCCACTCTCACCGCCCTGCCGCCCTCGGCCACAAGAGAGGACTGGGCTTGGCACACAGACCCACTGGGTAAGGAGGGGGGTGCCGAGGGCAAGGTGCGTGGCGCTGGGGATTGGGAAGGCTGCCCCAGATGGGGACCCTAAACGTACCAGGCCAGTGCTTTGGGCCAGGTGGAGGGTGAAAGAATAGATCGACAGATGGAGCAGATGAAATCCACAGACCTCCCAAAAGTTGGGTGGGCAGTCAGAAATATCTTTCAAGTGTTGGCAGAATATTTGGGGTGGTGCTGAGATTAAAAATTGAGAAACCTGGTGACAGACAAAAACCTGAACCGATGAGAGAATTATTTGGAACGAAAGCTAGGGAAATTATCAGAGATTAAGGTAATGTTGAGAATTAAGAGTTCGATTCATTCCCATGAGAACCCCCATCCTAGGCTGGACAACATGGAGAGGATTGAGATAAAAGCTGGGGTGCGGGTCTGGCACACTGGAGGGGCCCTCGGTAGCACCCCTGTGCCCTGCTTCAAGCAAATTGACCTCCTTGTCTCCTTCGAATGCTCTAGAGGCCTTGTCTCCGCAGCTACCGGTGCCCTGCCTTCTAAGGAGTCCACACAGCTCACCACAAGCACCTGGGCTGTGGCCAAGAAAAGTAAGTGGGGGAGTGCGGGTGGCATGGGGTGGGGGTGGGGGTGGGGGCGCTAGGGCAGGGCCAGGCTGGGGCTTTGACCCGGAGCCAGCTGCCCCTCTGGCCACGGGCCTGTGCGCCCCGCAGGCGGGCGGCTGCGGCTGGTGGGCGGCCCGGGCCCGTGCCGCGGCCGCGTGGAGGTGTTGCACGCCGGGGGCTGGGGCACCGTGTGCGACGACGACTGGGACTTTGCGGACGCGCGTGTGGCCTGCCGCGAGGCGGGTTGCGGCCCCGCGCTGGGCGCCACGGGCCTTGGCCACTTCGGCTACGGCCGCGGCCCCGTGCTGCTGGACAACGTGGGCTGCGCCGGCACCGAGACCCGCCTGAGCGACTGCTTCCACCTGGGCTGGGGCCAGCACAACTGCGGCCACCACGAGGACGCGGGCGCGCTCTGCGCAGGTGAGGCGCGCACTGCGGCACGGGCGGGGCGGGGCGGGACCGGAACCGACCGGAGTGAAGGATTGGCTGGGCCGTGCTGGCCTGCGCCAATAGGGCGGGCGGGGCCTGATAGGGGTGGGCGGGGCCACGCGTGAGGACGTATGCGCCCGAAAAAGTCGCTCTGCGGCTGCGCGATATGGGCAGGGCCGAAAAGGGTGTTTCCTCTGCAGTGCAGAGTGCGGCGCGGCCTGGGGAGGGCGCCCGCCCGCCCGCCCGCCCTGCGGCAGGGAGGGGCAGGGCGGGCCGGAGGCGAGGCGTAAAGCCAAGTGCACAGATAATGGTGCAAGCATGTGTAAGGGCCGGGTAGCTGTTGCTCTTTGCGGACCACCAAGCTTTAGTAAGCAAAGTTGATCTGACCATTGGGAGGAGTCAGTGGGCCGGCAGGACGTTTTTTAAATGATTCTGATCATTGGTTGGTATTGGAATTGAGGTCTTACCACCATTCTGTCTTGCTTGACTATGAAGGTTTTGCTTTGGGTTCCAGGGCCTAAGGTTCAAGAGGTAGGGGATTTGTGCCCAAACCAACCCAAACCAAACCCACTGCCCTGAAGCAGACTCCTAACAACCCTACAAGACAGAAGGCTGTAGATCTTTCTGTCCCCAGAACAGGTTTCTCTTGGGCAAGCAGGAGGTGACCTGGTCCCAAGGAACATGTTCTCCCATGTGACTGCCCCTTCTTTCTCTCTGTCCTTGCTGAGACAGGCCCAGAGGAGCTGGGGCTGCAAGCCCAGCAAGATGGTTCTGAGACCACCCCAGTGCCCACTCCTCGACCCAGAGACGGTAGGTACCCACGGGCCCCAAGAGTGAGGTAGGCACATCAGGATAGAAGGGACTTGGGTTGGGGAAGCCAGGCCTGGGGTCGTACAGCAGAGAAGGTTTACACAGGACCTGGATTCATGTCTTTTGTGCTGGCCTCCAGCCTCATTCTCAGTGGGATGGTGTCCGGGAGAATGGAGGTGACTGTAAGCTAGATCCATCTAGAGCAGTGGTGCTCAACTTGTGGGTTGTGGCCCCTCTGGGGTCGAACGACCCTTTCACAGGGCTGCCCAATTCATCACAGCAGAAAAATGAGTGATGAAGTAGCAACGAAAATATTTTTATGGTGGGGGAGTCACCACCACGTGAGGAACTGCGTGACAGGGTCGCAGCATGAGGAGGGTTGAGAAGCACTGATCTAGAGAGTCAGGATATGAGGTCACAATGAAGGAGGAGGAGGAGGGGTAGAGGAGTGGAAGGGACAGTGAACTTCAGGGGACCTCCAATGACCTGGGGTTGCAATCGGAGATTCAAACACAGGACTGGTAATGCACTTAACATACCCTGTGGCCTTTTTCTTCCAATCCTAGCAGTCTGAGTTTGGGCTGACACTGTCCAACTTCAGTCTCATTTATCTGCCTGGTCTAGCTTGGGAGTGGCTGGGCATGGGTCAGCCCCTTCCAGCCATGTACCTAACAGGACCCCCCCTCCATACACACACACAGGGCATCTGCGTCTGGCTAGCGGAGCCCACCGGTGTGAGGGACGTGTGGAGCTCTTCCTGGGCCAGCGGTGGGGCACCGTCTGCGATGATGCCTGGGACCTTCGGGCAGCCGGCGTCCTGTGCCGCCAGCTGGGCTGTGGCCAGGCCCTGGCGGCCCCGGGCGAGGCCCACTTTGGCCCAGGCCGAGGCCCCATCCTCCTGGACAACGTCAAGTGCCACGGGGACGAGAGTGCCCTGCTGCTCTGTTCTCACATCCGCTGGGATGCCCACAACTGTGACCACAGCGAAGATGCCAGTGTCCTGTGCCACCTGTCGTGACCAAGCAGCCCTCATGGAGTGACCACCTCTCTGGGAGTTGGCGGTGGCTGGTTCCTCCTCCTCCAGGAAGCCTTCCCCCTGGGGTGAGGACTACAACTCCAGTGTTCTTCCTCTCCAGACTGTGAGTCCCTGAGGAGAGGGCTCGGGCTCCAGCCCCATCAACTTGTGTGACCTCAGCCTGTCATCGCACTCCTGGGTCCCAGTTCAATGAAATCCCCCAGGTTCTGCTCAACCCAAATGGGAAACAGGACAAGGAAATACACTTCTCACCTCCCTCCTGTGGGGCTCCTTCCTGCCGGGATGCAGACCCGGAAGACTCAGCGGCTCTCTCCATCGCCTTCCCTGATCTTTGGGATTCCCCACCCACCCACCCAAAATAGGGAAGGCAGAGAGGACCGCAGCTCTTGCTGTGAGATCAACAGAGCTACAGAGGAACCCGGGCCATTGCCCTGCCCCACTCTGTGAGGGTCTGGGCTCTGATTGGTGCTCTGCTTGAACATGGGGACTGGGATGGGGGGCCGGGGGGGAAGGGCAAAGCAGGAACAGTGGCTCCTTCCTGCAGCTGGGTCCACCCTCTGTTTTTTGCTGCCCCTGTGGCACAGCTTCCACTTTGCAGACGCAAAGAACCTGGTGGCCCGTAGCCACCCATCCCTCAGTGCCAAGTCAATAAAGCAATGCCCCCCCACCTGTGTCTCCAAACAGAAGCCAGTGCATCTGTGGCCTCGGGGCAGTACAAGGGGAGGACCAGAGCTTGAGGGTGGAGGGTTGTCTGAGAGCATCCCCGGTGAGCTCACAGAGCTCGGGAAATGCTGACTCACAGTGGCAGGCTTATGGGGCACCCAGAGAGCAGCCTGTAGCTCATCCCACCTGCAATCTGCAAGCCTGCTGAGATGCAGGGGCTGGTCCAGCCCCCAGTTTCTGTCTGCGTTTCTGATGACCGCCATATGGCATCACCACAGACTCAGTGGCTTGAGACAAAACAGCCTGTGATCTTGCATTTCTTGGGGTCTGAAGTCAAAAATGGGTCTCGTGGGCTAAACCCAAGTGTCGGCAGAGATGGTTCCTTTTGGAGGCTCGAGGCGGGAAGCTGAGCCCCTGCCTTCTCCAGCTTTGAGAGGCTGATGGCTGGATTCCTGGCGGCCTTCCAGCCAGGAATAACATCACCCTAATCTATCCCAAGCCACATCTCCTCTGACTCTTCTTCCCTCTGCCATCTTTTTAAAATCCTTGTGATCGTGCTAGGCATCTTAGTAACCTGGTAGATTACATGTTGGGCTGCTCACTGCAAGGTCGGCAGTTCGAACCCACCAGCGACTCCTTGGGAGAAAGATGAGGCTTTCTGCTCTTGTAAAGATTTACAACCTAGGAAACTCACAAGGGCAGTTCTTTTCTGTCCTACAGGGTCCCTGTGAGTCAAAATCGACTAGATGACAGTGAATTTGGCCTTGTTTGGGTGATGACCCTGGCCCACGTGGGTAACCTAGAATTATAATGATAAATATTAATATATACAATATATATACTTCCTCAGTACCAAGTCAATAAAACACTTCATTCACCCCATATCCTATCATATTCTATTATTATACAACAATAGAATAGAATCACGTATATCATAATATGATAATATATAGTCACGTAATAATAATCTCAAAAGCCCTTAACTTAATCACACCTGCAAAAGCTCTGAAACCAGACAAGATAACATATTTACAGATTACAGGGATTCAACAATGGGGGTACCCATTTGGAGCCACCACCAGCTCCAAATCTAGGTCCTGGTTCCCAGCCAGGGCCTGGTGGGCACGTTGTCTCCATTGTCAGGGAACAACCGTTGGAGACTCACTGTTACCAGAGATTCTGGGACTAGAGGAATAACAGAGGTGTGAATGTCCCCTGACGCAGGGAGCCCAACAGTGGCGGTGCTGTAGATGCCCTGCAGCCCCAGGCTGCTCAGAGATTAAGCTCAGGGCAGGGTCACAGCCACCCCACGACTTGCTCATTTATTCTGAGTAAGCCCACAGCGTCTTAACTCTGGACTCATGTTCCTCCAGCTAGACAAAGCACTTCCATCAGCAGTCTCTCATCAGCATTTTTTCAATCGAAACCCTGTGAGGGTTTCTCCAGGCAAGGACGACCGACCAAGGGTCCCAAGAGAAGAAATGATTCGTCTCAAGTTTGCCCCATTGACCCTGAATATTTACATCATCTTTATGGTTGCCTGATTTTATGTTGCTTTGCTGCTATGTTATGTGACGATGTTAATGGTTACAAGTTGGGCTGCAATCCGCAAGGCCAGCAGTTTGAAACCACCAGCCGCTCTAAGGGAGAAAGACAAGGCTTTCTCCTCCCGTAAACAGTTACCAAAACCCAAAACCAAACTCACTACCATCAACTCATAATAACCCCCTGTGGTTTACCGAGACTGTAGCTGTTTATGGAGTAGGGAGCCCAGTCTTTCTCCAGAGGAGCTGCTGGGAGTTTTGAACTGTTGACCATGAGGGTTCACAGTCCACTTGTAACCACTACCACATCAGGCCTTCCTGTAAACAGTCACAGCCTTGCATATCCACAGGGGCAGTTCCACCCTCCCCTATAGGGTAATTATGAGTACGCATCCACGAAGTGCTATGGGCCAAAGAGGGAAAGACTGGCCTGGTGGTTATGTGTTGGTCTGATAACCACAAGATCAGCAATTTGAAGCCACCTTCCGCTCCACAAAAGAAAGATGAGGCTTTCTACTCTCATACACTCACAAGGACAGCTCTACCCTGACTTACAGGTCAGAATTGACTGGATGGCAGGGAGTTTGGTTTGGGGCCTACAGGAATTCTGCCAAAGAATTGGGAACATGCCCACAGATATGGTACGATTTACAACACCTATGTCTTCGGAGGGACAACTTTCAATCTGCTACCCACCTGGGGCGCCCTCAGTGAGGCTGAGGGCCCAAGACAGAGCAGATGGAAGTGAAAGGGGCCAACTTGACTTTGGACGAGCAAGTGAGAAGCAAGCTGGGACTAGAGGCCAGCTCCTGAGAAGAGGGCATTTGACATTCATACTGACAGAGCAGGAAGGAGGTGGAGGGGATTGTGACTCTGCTGGAGACTGCCTGGGGATGGCCATGAATATGCATGAGGGCAGCCTTAGGGTTCTTGACCAGGAAATGGCTTGAGGGACTTCCGTTTCAAATGTCTTCAGAGTTGGTCTGGCCACATCTACTTTGACCAAAGCTCTTTCACCCCGAAGGTTGTAGGTGTTCTTTTTACAAAAGTTTGTCGGAGCAGATCTGGTCTTTCAGCTATACTCACTAGCTGTGGTGGATTTCATTCCCCAAAGGAAAAGGCTCAAAAGTGATCAGGAAAAAGAAAAGAAAAATAAAATATACTTCTACTGAGTCCATTCTGACTCACGGTGAACTAACTGCCCCTTTTAGTTTCCAAGACTTCCAATCTGTAGGGAATAGACAGCCTCACCTTTCCCCCTGCCAGGATGGTGATTCTGAATGGCTGATCTTTCAGTTGGCAGACCAGCAGCAGAAAGGCTTTGCCTTAAAGGGTCGTGGCATTAGGAAGGTTGAGAACCACTGCTCTAGTTCTTTAATACTTTCTCCCCTTACTGTTATGATTTTTAATTTGTTTTACCTCAATCATGTTAGGCATGCATGTGTTCATTTGTATAATTAAGATCATTCGATACATGAAAACCAAGATAGATAACCTTTCAGAAACAGTAACAGAAGTAATGGTTCCCTGAGGGAACTGGAAACGGGTGGTGGTGGAGGGGAAGCAGCCGATAGCACTGATGACTGTATAACTCCATTTGAGGGGAGCGAGCAACAGAACTGTACATGAACGGATATAGTGGATGGTGTAAGATGAGGCAGAAATAAAATAAAATAAGGGTTCCTGGGGTAGGGTGTTAAAGGGGAGCTGATATGTAGGAGTCCAAGAAGAAAGAAAATAATGTTTTGAAACTGTGGTAGCAATTGTACAACACTGCTGGATGTGATTGAACTATGGAATGTCATGATATCTGTAAGAGCTCCCAATAAAATGATAATCAATCAATAAAAAGAAAGTGAACTGCCGGGACTGCCCGTCAGCCCTGGTAGGAGCAGTATTGCCCTCGGGGACTTGCCTTCCTTCGATGGGAATTAGGTTATGAATCGTGCCCCCATCAAGGTGTCCCGAGGGCCCCGAACCAGTCCTGTAAGTTTTCCCTGTGTGTGACGGGCATGTCTCCCAATCATGGTCCCTTTCCCACTTCAGTCGCCTGCCTACAACTGCCGGGTCAATCTGCTGCTTATCCTGATTTGAGGCCGAATTGCCTTCGCAATTTGAGGGTGAACTGCCTTTGTTTGTTTTCCATGCTTTGGAGTTTGCACACGTGGCTGTGAATCCTTTGAACACCATTGTGGCCTCCCACCAGCCCTGGTGGTGTAGTGGATAATGCATTGAGCTGCTAGCCACAAGGTCAGCTGTTCAAACCCACCAGGTGCTCCGAGGGAGAAAGAAGAGACTGTCTGCTCCTGTGAAGATTGTAAAAGTCTCAGCAACCTATAGGTTCGCTATGAGTCAGAATTGACTTGGTGGCCCAGAGGATGGCCTCGTGTTGATGGTCTCCCTCATCTGGACAAGGGTCTTTATCCTGTTTCAGCCTTCATAAAGGGACCTCCATAAAGTCCATTTGGATTAGCCCCCCCCCCCACTTAACAAGGACCATTGTGAGTTGGAATTGACTCCACCATAGGGTTTTTGATGTGTTTGATTTTTAATATCACTCAATCCGTTAGACCAATGGTTCTCAACCTTCCTCATGCCGTGACCCTTTCATACAGTTCCTCATGTTGTGGTGACCCCCCAACCACAAAATTATTTTCGTTGCTACTTCTACTTCATAACTGTAATTTTGCTACTGTTATGAATCATCATGTAAATATCTGCTATCCAGGATGTATTTTCATTGTTACAAATTGAACATAATTAACGCATAAAGTTTTGGTGATGAATCACCAAAACAAGATGTAATTCTATATTGTGAAATACTTATTTCTAATGACAAATATATGAAATTTTGTCTTGAAGCATGGTGTAGCATGGGTAACAGTCTTCACACTGGGTACTTGTATGTGGGCGTATCTGCAGGTGGGCGGACCCACCTGGAGAAAATAGAGGAACAGTGTCTTGGTTCCTAAGACCATCGGAAAACACATAGGCGACCCCTGTGAAAGGGTGATTTAATCCCCAAAGGGGTCGAGACCCACTGTTTTAGACTAAAACTCCTCCCTGTGGGCTGGGCCTGGTGACCAGCCCTTCTGAATCAGGCTGCCTCTCTTGACTCCAGTCTCAATCTCTGCTCCACCTGCAGACCTGCTTCAATCCCTGA